GAGAGAGAGAGAGAGAGAGAGAGAGTATATTTAACGTCAGTAAGTCGGGATCTCCCAGTCCCTGCCTCCCAGGGGGCATATGACGTGCTAGCGCTACCTGAGCTTGACACTAGGCTACATGTTGCTATCGAGGCGGCTAACAAAGACAAACCAAGGGGCAATCCCAAGGCACACGAAATTCGGGCCGCATTCCGGCGCTCCTTGTTGGTAAGCGGGCAATCGGCAAAAAAGGGCGAATGTCGCCGGGGCGCCATAGGCGCAGCTGTTGGTGGTAGAGAAAGCAGTTGGCCGGCAATATGCCGGAGTAAAGTGAGGGCCGGGCGGAGGGTCGCAATGTCCCCCCATTTGGACCCGGCCAAAGAAGAAGAAATCGGGGGCTGGAGGGCCTAGTTCCAACCCGGTGTGCTCCTTGTGTGTCGTATGTGGTCGACCGAGGAGGAGTTGCGTGAGGCTGCGACCGATGAAAGGTCGCGAGGATGGCGGGGGACGGCGGCGGCCGGGCCGGCTATTCGTCCAATGTGTTCTAACTGCTTGCCGGCCTGCAGTCTTCTTGTGCGTTCATCGTTTCGTCGCGTGTCGTGTACCCGCGAGGCGAAAGGAAGTTCAAGGGCGGTCTGGTGATGCGCGGAGGTTGGAGCAATCTGTCACGGGGTAGGGCCGAAGGCCTGTACGAGGTAATCACGATAAAGGTAAACGATCTGTAAGGGGTGAAGGCCTATATTGCTATAGGCTAGATACGACAACTTCAGCTTGACCTCGCAATCCCTAGAATTGCCTCGCTCAAGCTGCCTAAGTCCTGCGACCCCTGGGCCCGTGCACGGGTGCCTAAGGCACCCTCGCGATGCGGGCCTTCCTACCCCGTGGGACCTCCGTGGCTGAGGCCTCCGTGTGGCACGGCCCTCTGGGCCTGCGCCACCTCCGGGACAGTGGTCTGCCGTAACACCGGCAGGTCCCTTACAAGGAACGAAGCTGAAATTGATTGCACCACGTGATTTCAAAATTTTTCAACGAGTCAGTCACGTTTTTTCCGGCGAAGAATTATGATTGGCTGGGATTACGTAATCGGGTTGGGTTCTTTTTTTTGGGTTTGGTTTTGGGTGGGGCAGAAAGACCTTTCGTTCCTCAAGGCAATCGCGTGCCGTTTCTGGTTATCAGAGAGCCACTTCCGGCTCCTGCTCGTGGGTCCCATCGAAGGCGGAGCGTGAAGGGCGAATTTTGGCTGCTGAATGGTGGGGTAATGATGCCTCCGCAATTTTCAACCGAATCTGGCTTTTGCTACGTCACACGGCGTTCTCAGCATCAATGATCGTCATAGATCAGTTGTAAGCCATTCGTTATCTGGTTTAGTGTCGTGTCCGATCAAAACCCCACCCAACCCACCCAACCCAAAAGCCGCTTCTGGCTGTCGACGTTCTCCCGGGGATGGGACATCTCTCCCTTATCCCAGGACTGCCCTTGGCAATCCAGGAACATGACGCCACAGAGCCGGGGAAGATACGGGCTTAAACCGACGGGAACTCCGTCAACGGCGGGCTTAAACAAATCGTAGGACTCCTTCGCGGTACGGATGCATGGGCTTAGCACGGTTAAGCCTTCTACGGGTGCGGCGCAGGTGTAGGTGACAATAGCCGAAGTTAAATTGACGGATGCAATGCGGAGGCACGTCGGGCATGCGAGGGGTCGCGACCCGGGCCGGAGATTAAGGACCCCGGCGACGCCATCGTCCGCATCACCAAAAACCACCATCTGCGGCACCGACTTGCATATCCTAAAAGGGCGATGTGCCGCATCCTGGGCTATGAGGGCGTGAGCGTGATCGATGCGGTGGGCCCGACGTCACCGTGTTCAAGTCGGGCGACCGCAGTGCTGATCTCATGCATCACCGCCTGCAGCACCTACGACTATTGCCGCCGGGGTATATATTCCTACTGCCGCACCGGCGGCTGGATACTGGGCAACGTCATCGATGGAGGCGGAATATGTCCGCATCCCCCACGCCGCCACCAGCCTATACCCCATCTCCGAGGGCGCGGATGAGGAGGCGTTGGCGATGTTGAGCGACATCCTGCCCACCGACCTCGAATGTGGGGTGTTGAACGGCAAGGTGGCGCACGGCTCGACCGTAGCCATCGTAGGCTCCGGTCCCTGCCGGCCTGGCGGTCACTCTGGATGGTGAGGGTGTGCCCAAAATACAAAATGAAGTCGGCGTCTAGCATACAAACCATAGGATAGCAGCTTAAATGGTCCTAAAAGAAGTCACCATTCAGCGATACAGTTTAGGCGTCTAACAGAAGTCCTGAAAGCCTCTCGGCCAATGTGGTTATGGTTCCATTCACTCGAGGCTTAATAATCTCGGCTCCTCCGCGATCCATTGACAGCGCGGTTGACCAGCAGTCCCGCCACTGCCGCCTTGGCGACGAGCCATTTGTTACTGCTTCCGCGTTTATCGATTATCGTCTCGACCGCCGCCGCCGACAGAGCCGCCGTCGCCACCCGCGCACCCTTCCACCCTGCCGACACGGGCTCCTTGCGCAGGCGCAACATCTCCACTGCCGCGGCACCTGCGGCCGCCTCCACGGGGCCAACCCACTGCTCGCCCATCAGCTCGTGCAGCCCTGCGCGATCTAGGTGTTTCCGGCCCTCCGATGGCGCTTTGGCCGCGTGCTGCCAGCTGCTAGCACCGATATCCAGACATTGGCGGTGGCGCTGCTGCTGCCGCCGGTCAGATTGCGCATGCCTTTTTTGTGACCGCGAATTGACCGACCAGCCCTCGCGGCCGAGATGACGGTGTGGCTTGCCATCTTTATCGAAATAATTGTCGTCGGGATACTCGCAGTTGTATGGCTCATCCACCCTGAGAAGAGTCCCTGATACTAGACCAGACCCTCCTCCCCCGAATCTCCGTCGCAGCAGCAACCATGGGCGCCGCACCGCCCAGCGGCAGTGCCTCCTCCGACATCCAGGCCGGCGGCGTCATCTCCAACGACGGCGGCGCGGCCATAGTCACCCAGTACGGCGAGACCAAGCGCGGCCTGAGTCCCCGCCACGTCCAGTTCATGGCCATCGGCGGCTCGATTGGAACGGGACTCTGTAAGCTGACCACCCCTTTCCCGGAGACTCCCCCACGCGCCTCCCCCGCGATATGGGGTACCGCTTATTTGGGGCGCCGCGCCGGTAGCCGGTCAGAGCTTTCTGTGGTTCTGATTTGCTGACGAAAAATCACTCCCGAGCAGGGATCGGAATCGGCGGAGTGCTTACCAAGGCTGGACCGCTGTCGCTCGCTTTTGGCTACACGTTCTGGGGACTTCTCTACATCCGGCCGCTCAACCTGTGCGTCTGTTAGGGATCACCCTCACAAAAGAGGCAGGGCTGCAGTGTAGCGAAGGTTGATTTGACTATCTAGAAGTGACGAGTAGAAGGAGGGGATTGGTGCGTTGCACCGGGACCCTCGTGCAGGGTTTTCATGCAAGCGGCCACGCACGAGCCACGCACGAGCCACCCAGGCACGGGCCCCAAGCATTAAGCCTCAGCCACCGTGGCTCAGCGACTCCCCAGGCGCCACGCCACCACAGCGTCGCCGAAATGTGCGCCTACCTGCCGATCCGCGGCTCCATCTTCGAGCTCGCGAGCCGCTTCGTCGACCCAGCCCTCGGCTTTGCCATGGGCTGGACATACTTCTTCGCCGGCCTTATGCTCGTCTGCACCGAGTACTCTGCTATCGCCACCGTCATCCAGCACTGGGACCCCAGCACGAATCCCGCCGCGTGGATCGCCGTTGCCATGTTCTCGTGCATCATTGTCAACGTGGTTGCCGTCAAGTGGTACGGCGAGGCCGAGTTCATCATGGCGTCCACAAAAGTCCTGCTTCTTTTCGCCCTTATCCTGATCACCATCATCACCATGGCCGGTGGTCTATGACTGTGATGTGTTGTGGTGTAGAAAAAGGCAATGAGCCGGCTGAACGCATTGTATATGTATCCTGGAGGCAGTATTGTTGGAGGGGAAAAGGGAGGGCCTGTGTTACGCATTCCTAAGCGACGTAAACGCCGACGAAAACCCCCACTCCGAGGCAAGCAGCTTCTGCAAAGCGCGCTGGTTCACCCGCTGATGGACGCTCCAAGAGCTCATCGCGCCGGGTGTAATCTACTTCTACCAGTAACCCAAAGCTCCCTCCACATGTCGTAAACCTTACCCATGCCGGGGCCTGCGACCGGAAAAGCCTTGTCCACCTATGTGGCTCCATTTTCCTCGGACGTGGGATTCCTTCACATGCATCATGCAGGATTGTCACAGGAAACATCGGGGTGTGAGATTTGCAAGGCCAGGCAGCGCCAATAGCACTGTCCGTTGGAACAGCTTCGCGGCGGAATGCTGTCAACCTGGCCTTTCGATGAAATGTTGGGCTGCGCGTCCTGTACGGCAGCAGAGATCAGCAATGCCGGTGTGCTTTGCCAACCATTTGCCTGGCATGATGGCACACTGGCTCCTTCTAAAGACCGAACATGTTGACCAATAGTGTGCCTGCCGGCGAGGAGCTCGACATAATGTGCGAGCCAGAATAGGGACCAAAGTTGCGGGAACGAGGAAGAGCAAATGGTGACAGCTACTCTGTCAACGAGTGGAGATGCGATGGAAAGTAGCCTTGAGCCTCGACAAGCAGGCATGCGGCTCGCGACACACGCGAGTCAGGCCGGCACCAAAGCCGCGGCAAAGCCAGGCCGCGGCGGGCACCTCGTCTTGCGACGGCCAGATGCGCGGGCGGAGTCAGGAAACGGACGAGTCGCGGCCGCCTTCACGCTCAACTGCAAGAGACCTCACCAGGTCGGAGGGCGGCCCCGTACAGGCTGTCTTGGGCAATGCGGTCCCGCCTATTTTATCTACCCCTCCGCTTTCACTTTTTGATCGTCATGTTTTGCGGCTTGCCTTGTTACGGCGTACGGAGCCTTGACTGTTCTGCCGTTAATGTTTTATGGATAAAAGCTAAAGGGCCAGTTGGAGGAGCCGATATATTTTCGTCGAGCATCTCAACGTAGGCTCCATAGAAACGCTAGCCGGGTCCTTTCACCCGGGCAACCCAAACCTTGCGCTTGGTAAAAAGGCGGACCGGAACCTCCAAGGCCCCAACAGCGCGCTAGGCGAGCCTGCCTCTCCGGCAAGACGAGAACTTTACAGCCCCGGTGAGAAGCGAGGCGTGGGAACGCGACACACATTTTGTGTGATTTTTACGCCCTGTTGCCTGTGCCTCCTTTTAGCCGCTCTTCCACTC